TTCTGGCGTGGTCACCTCATTTGGTCGACCACTGCGATGTTCGTCTTGGCAGCTCGTTCGGCCTCGTTTAAACTCTGCCACCCAATATTTTACTGTTGTAAACGAAGGAGCAGACTCCCCCAAAATAGAATCTAGCTCCGCTTTGATATTGGTTGGACTGAGGCCTTTCAAATGAAAGTATTGTATCACATGACGATGACCAATTTTTTCCATGTTTACAAATTCACTGAGAGCGTTCATTATTGATGGGTGCCAATACAATACATACTGAACAACGTAGCGTCGTCAAACTTCAAACTTAAGCTTTATAAGGTTAGTACTTTCTACCATAGTCATTCTTTTCAAACAACAACTGCTATCTATACATCAGGTCAGGTACTTCTGGGACTACCCTCGTAGTGTGATGTTCGACTTTTGCTCTTCTCGGCGTTTCTCGATATTTCTAATAATAACACTTATATAGATGAGAATGAAACAGCTTATACGCGTGCGTACGAGACAATGTAATATATATTTATGTACGTATCATTTTGAAACTACTTGAAGCTACTTGAAACGGTAGCTTGAAATCGCCCCTTGCTTAATGGAACTCCCCTTAACAAAATGGTAACCACTCGAGCGAAATTGGAATATATCGCACATTATTGTACAAGCGCTCCCGGGCTTTTTCTGCGAGTTCGTGTGCTCCACAGGGCCGACCTTGAGCGAAATAGGACTTTGGATTCATCAACACATTTTTGTTCACCCTGGTTCATCAACACATTTTTGTCGTCTCTTCTCCGTAAAACTTGACCATATAAACGTATATTTATTTTATTACATCATAATAATTATTTTTAGTTAAGAGATAGCTGTTTTCATAATTTAGAAGAAAAAAACAAAAAGGTTTTATATCCTTAGGTTTTTAAATTATTAAAAATTCTAAAAGTTTTTCCCTGAAAATACAATTATTAAAAAAACTCAATGAGAAATCAATCATTTTTTTCAAAAATTTAAAAATAGTTTTATATCATCTGTGATTGAACCATGTCCTCTCGTCATGAGATCTGTGATCCGAAATTTAGGGGATTGGCTGTCCGTTTCGTTATTATTTGTTTCGGTCCCTCTCCATACAACTCGAACACATCGCTTTGCCGACCATCAGCCGTTGCTCGGCAACCTCTGACTCGCGACGCGTCGTTATATGATGGCGGCGAAGGTGGATAACCGGCGCGGAGTTCCATCCCCCCTCACACACATATACACCACACGTGCGCGCGCGCGCACACACACATACGCACATACGCACGTACGCACGCACGCACGCACGCACGCACGCACGCACGTACACATATACAAATACTTCTCTTTCTCTCTTATTCCCTTTCTCTCCTTTACTTCATCTTTTCAACTGCCCGCTGGGACCAAGTTGAGTGGCACTCGTTGACCAAACGGTCATTATGACAAATGTTAGTTATGCCTTGACGACGCCGTCAGGCACTATGACAACGAGTCAGCACAAGCAGCCAGTTATACCGATGTAAACTATCGTAATCACCCTTCGGTGAATAGCGCTGTAGCATCTATGTATCTACCTACTACATGCATCTGCAGCTACCGAATAATTCTATTTCTCTTTCGTGCATGTTTCACATAGCTTCAGATCGGAAAGTTGTGTATAGCTGATAGAATGAGAATGGTTGTGACATTTTTCATTTAAAAGGGATACATTTATCTCGATAATTTTATTCCAATATGAATACGCACATTTAGATATTCGATAAATTTAATATTCTTTATTTTTACGATAATCAGTCTTCGAAATGAACTAAGGACGAGGAAAGCTCGCTATGTTTTATTCCAGGCACGAGCACATTCTGCTACCGTAATCTCTTTAGCATGTTCTTAGACTTTACATAAGCGTTAATCTACGCGCCACACTACGTAGATTAAGATAGAACTCATCATATCTGATCTCATTAATTATTACGTTACTATCATAATCTCTTGCGAATATTATATTTCGCAACAGTTAGTAAACGTTTATTGTAAATTCACATATACACACACATACACACGCGCGCACGTGTGTGTGTGTGTGTAACGCATCGAAAATTTATCTATATTATCTATATTTACTCCGTGGCAACATATATAAGAAATAAACCATAGAAAGAATGATACGATGAAAACAGGAGCATGGGAAGGCAGCAGAGGTTATTACGTAAGAGAGCAAATTACACTATGTTTTGGACAAAATAATTATATTATGATAGGAAAATCTTACTGAAAATATGAGGAGCGAAAAGTTGCTACTGAAATTCTAAAGAGTTTGGAAATCGTCAATACAACCGGAGATACCAATGTATTGTAACTCAATGTAACAGATATGATAAAACGGTGACCCAACCTAATGAAAAAGGAAAACATAATAGTGTATTCTATGAGTCTTGGCGAAACATATACATGCAGTCGATCCCGTTTTATGTTTTGACTCGAATACGTCGCGAGAAAACTCTGC